TCAAAATATTAGATCACTATATAGAAACTCAAAACATGCTCCCTAGGATCCAAAGAAATAAAAGCTTACAAGAATAAAGCCTTTGGGATCAAAATCCAAAAATTTTCTCTTCCAAAAATTGAAGAAAATCAAGAGAAAGAGAAGAGGATTGAAGTAGGAGTTTACTTATCGTGTAGCCGAGCTCGCAACGGTTGCAAAGACTCCTAGATCCGAGCCTAACTCCCTCTCTTTCTCCTTTCTTCTTCCTCTCTCTCTCTCTCACTCTCCCGTTTGTGCGTTTCCTTCCCTTGTTCATTTTCTGCGTTTTCTGCATCTGTTTGCTCTTTAAAATGTTGGTCAAAAATTTTGGAGAAAAATTACAAGAAAGGACCCAACATTTTTTATTATTGCACAAAAGCCCGGGTCAACTTTGGTAATTTTTCCCATAGTTAAAAATCAAATAAAACCAAACTTTTGCTTAGTAAAATTCAAACTCTGGGCCTCTATCAAAATTTCTAAATTTTAATTTAATTATAGATATTTTATTTTATTTTTATTTATTTTTTTTAAATAAATTTGAGTTTTAAAATTTTTAGGATGTTACAGTAATAGCTCTTGAGAATAATGTTTTTGGCATGACTCTTACTAAGAGTATACCTGCTGTTTGCAATAGAGCCTTAAGTGTTTTTTTTTTTTTGCAAGTTAAAGAATATTTTATCTTTAAACATTTTCTCAAAACTATCTAGTGCTATAAACTTTTAGATGTGTAATTCACCCTTCAACATTTAAAAATAGTGCATTGCCTATTATATGGTTAAATTACACATAAGTACCTTAAAATAAAATTCATATCAATTAAATCTCTTATATTAGATATAGATAATAGCTATAAATGTTATTTTATTACTCACATAAATAACCAAAATATGATTTTAACCAACCATTGTTTTAGAGACTTGATCATATTAATTTTTTTATATGGTATTTATTTATAATTTTATGAGTCATTTTCCATAATTTTTAAGTATTTTTTATAATTTTTTTGACCAACTATCAATTAAAATTAACTTTTTTAACATTAAGTTGTTCAGTGTATTATTTTCAAATATTGAAAAATAAAATTATACTACATGTAAGTTTTGAGATATTAGATATTTTTAAGTCAATAGTTAAAAGGTAAAAATAGCTGATAGTTTTTCTTTCTTTTGGCTTTTACGGATGTTTAGAGCAGATATATCTCACTTAGGAGCTCCGCTTGAACTAAGACTTGAAGGAGGAAAATTTTCGTGATGGTTTTGCTATTCGTTTTTAAAATTTAAATCATAATTCTCAATCTTGCGTGTCGCAACCTTTGCCCCGTGAATGAAATTATAAACACACGTCAGAATAAATTATTGGAGAGCCACCAAACACAGGGTGCACCGCAGAAAAATCTATATATAATATAGTCTTGGTTGCTTCACGGTTTTCTCTTCCCGGTCCAATGAAGCTTCACGATTTACGCAAATGCTGACCAATGCGGCTCTAATCCAATATAATATAAATCCACATACCTAATTACTTTCCCCTTCAATCATTATTCTTCCATATTTGGATTAGTATTTTGACAATTCTCTCGAGCAATTTAATCAAAAACACTTTTTTTTTTTTAAGTTTGAATAAAATGGCCCACGATATAAGAGGTTAACCTTGATGGTCAAGGAAGGGTGAGATTAGAGCCAGTAGATGATTTATTGAAAAATGTTAATTTACGAGAAATTGATTTCTATTGCTAAAGAAGTGAATAAAATTTATGTGAGTTTTTCTTTTAAGCATTTTTTTAATTTTACCAAACTTCGCAATGTTTGTTTAAAATTTAAAAAAATTAAATAATTAAAAGATTTTATAAAAAATTTACTTTTTAGAAATTTTATAAAAAGGCCACATTACTTTGTACCTAGTTATAACAATAAAAAAGTGATTATTAATCGATTGTTTTTAAATTTGTAATATCACCCTTTATTTTTATTTTATAAAAATAATTTATTATTTAAAAATGTTATGATATCTTCACATATCCGGTGTTTTAAAAAACTTTTTTTTTATCTACTGTATTAAATTATTTTTAAAAATTATTTAAACTAACTTCTTAAAATAATTAAAAACCTATTTTTTATCTTTGATTATTTTTAAAAATTTAAAAAAAATCATAAAATAATTTTTTAAAAAACTAATGACTTTATCATGAAATTAGCTAAAATAAATGGTTCATTACTCTTTCTAGACTTATTAATTATTAATTTAGAATTATGTTTATAAGAAATAGGTAATAAAATAGGAAATCAAACCTGTCCTTATTGCTTTGTTTTTTTTTAACCCCTTATAATTTTATAATTTGATATTTGAATTAAGAGATAAAAATGCTCTAAAAGATTTCTCGAATGAGTTATAAGTATCTTTGTTTTTTAGAAAAAGCAATATTGTCTAAAAGTGCTAAAGTAGAGCAATATTGTGTAAAAGTATTAGAAGCAGGGCAGTATTGTCCTCTCATAATCTCAAGCTAATGTTAACTAACATAATTTTTTTAACCAATGAAGATGATATAGTTGTCAACCCATGTGACAGTCATTATATTCTTGTTGCTTTCTGCTTTTCCATTATCGTTGTCCCCCATAACTGCAATCACCTTTCTCCTCCGCGCAACACTGCCACTGCCCCCTTGAGCCACTCCTCCACCTCCTCCGTACTTGGTTGTTTCTCCGGGCTACCATCTCTTTTCACTCCTCCTAGAGGCTTCTCTATTGGTTTCTTATCTCTAAAAGCAAAATCCCAAAGTCGTGCCCATCACAGCTCTCTGAATCCGTTTGAGTGAGTTGGAACGATCAACAAGTACTCGAGCAATAACCCAAGTCTGAGGGTGAGGTTGGGTTTCTAGTTTTGGTTCAAGCATGTGAGCAAGGGCATCAAGCAAAAGCGTTTCAGAGGAAAGGTGGTGATTGGCAAAACCAGCGGCAAGTCGTGCGGGTATGTTGAATTTGCAGAGGAAGTGTAGAAAACAGTGAGGGCGAGATTGGTTCTTGGTGGTTGCTGCCATGTAGCTTGCCACATTAGAGTTTTCAGCGCTTTATTAATCAAACATTGAAAAAGAATGACATTGTTTTACTTTTAACATTTTCAGGACAATATTATTTATTTTAAAATATAAAAGTACCCATAATTTTTTTGGAAAAATTTTGAAGATATGTTTGTCCTTTAACCCTCAATATTTCTAGAAGTTTGCCACTATTTGTTTTAGATTTTGTTTTACTTTTTCTGTCACGATTGAGGCGATAAATCAGATGGACGCCGTTCCCTGCAGGGGAAGACTACGTCCACTCCAACCCCCACCAAAAAGGTTGCAAAGTTTATTCATTAATTGACTGTACTGGGTAAATAAATTGTAATAAATCCCCTGTTTAATGATATACCGTTGATAAAAACATTAATAACCCCCTCTTCTAGAACATCTTGCGAGAATACTGACAGCTCTTCTCATTTCCATGCATACACTAGAAAAGCTCGACGCTCGTACTTAAAATCAAACAAATGGATCACAAGAAAAAAATTAAACAAATAAAAGTATAAAATTAAGGTTGCATTCATTGCCGCAACGAATCAGAAAAATCCTCGCGTCTTTCTTTACCCAGGGAAGTCGAAAACTTGTTTGGGGTCGAAGTCATCTTCCATTTTACCTTGTCCACCAAGCAAGACAAAAGGGCCCCAAAATTAATTTCATCCATGAAAAGCTATCAATTAATTAAGTCAAAAACTGATGATAACTTTAATAACGGAGGCGAATCCACTACCAATTAATGTATCAGTTACTTGTAGCAAGAAGATGCGTGGGAGGGAATTATTAAAAGGAAAATATCAATTGAGAAATGTTAAAAGAAATTTAAAGCAAAAAAAGGTTAAATGAATCTGAATTATCATTGCAAGACTACGTGATTAAAATGAGAATAAGTTTGAACTTGAAATGTGCATGATATTCCTTTTTAAAAAAAAAATTAATCATGCTATCACCAACTTTGACTATGAGACCTTCTCAAAGACTCTATTGGTGGCAAGATTTCTGTAGCCCTTACCATTGGCAACACCGATCGCCAAAGTTCTAGTAGAGTAACAATTTTCTTGAATAATTGGTTAAGGTGATCGAAGAGAGTTTGATCTTATAAAACCTTTGTCATCTAAAAAATTTGATGACCACCAAGTACTAAGCCCATTTTATTATAAATGACAAAAAAAATGTATGTAATAGCCCAAACTTTTATAAGTTTTAATCTTTCATCAATAAATATTCATGCGGATTTTAATAATAACTCATTTAAAGTTAACAATAATCTATTCAAGTTTTAACAAATTAGAAAAACTAATAAAATGAACTTAATTGTGTAAGTATTAATCTTTTATCAATAAATATTTATTTATGTTTTAAAAACAACTCATTCAAAATTAACAATTTATTCAGATTTTAACAAGTTAAAAAAATAATAGAATTAATTTAATTGTGTAAGTGTTAGTCATTTATTAATAAATATTTATTTAAATTTTAACACTTATTTAATTGCCATTGGTGGCTATGACTATGGAGACCTTGCTATCGGTGGGGTCTCTAGCAAGGTTCGGTGGCCAACGCTAATGTTAAAAAAAAAAACAAGAATATTATAATTATTTTATGTTCAAACTTATTTTTATTTTAATCCTCCAATCCTGTAGTGATAATTTAATTTTTTTTTATCCTTCTTTGCTATAAATTTGCTTAAAAAATTGATATTTTCCCATTATTAAATATGGTGACAATATTTAAAAGGGGGGAAAGAGACGTGGATATGGCCAACCAGACAGATATGTACCGCCAGTATTGAGTCACGAATATGATATGTACATATGAATATTATAATATAATGGGAGTCAGCTATTGTGGTAGAAACTGTTTGCCTTTAATCTGGTGCCATAAGGGAGGGGCATATAATCTGTGTGAAGCGTGAATCCCTCCATACAGATAGCATCCAACGCAGAATTTGCACACAGTTATAGACTTCAAGAATCTGCAGATCTACACCCAACATATAAGATCCCGCAAACCTGGTATTGTTAATTACAGCCTCAAAAGCTTCTCCTCTTCTCTCCACCACTTTTCACCTTTTCCATAGTTTGATATTTTCAATCCACATTCCTTCTTGTTCCTCCTTTCTTTAGTAAGCCGCGAAAAGAATAGTTCCCCTTCCCGCTCACTGCGTGGTTGCGTTCTTTCACTGCTTTCCTACACGGATTCTTCTCATGGCTGTTCACGGGTAGAGATTCTCCAGTTTCATTTTATATTTTATAGCTCCCACCTAATTGCTCCAACTAATTCCAGGATCCCCCCCATGCCTCACTTGTTCCGCCCTTCATGTTTAGATATTTCAATTGATTGATTAACAATTTAATTCTGGCAATAACTTAAACGAAGACAAATATGATAACATTTCTTACCTTGTTAATTTAAATCTGAATATCACAATAATAATTCTGTAACAGAAATTAATCCCTGTAGAAGTTAAAAGTGCAGTCAATGAATCAGAGAGTTATCAAAATTAATTAAGAATCTCATCAGTTTTCACTTGAATAATTGCATCATCTTTATAAGATGATTATAACAGACAGTTTTCATTTCTTGCAAAAGAAAAGAAAAGGGAGAGCTTAATTAATAAAAAACATCAAAGGGAGAGCCTTTCAGGTTGAATAATTCTTCAGCCCCTCCATTTTTCTGCTCCGTCGTTCTTTCTGTTCAGTGTTTTATTACTGGGTTTTTCTTTTCATCGTGACAGCCGTGTCACCGTCATAGCGTTTTGTATATCCTTGTAGAGATTCCTCAGTTTCATGGTTTCAGCTGCTGCTGCTAGTACTACAAGGGCGAATTATTTTTCTCCCCTGTCTCGTTCCTTCACACCTGGTAATCCATCCACTCTTTTCTTTCTGCGTAGTCCCTGAGAATATGAAAAGTTATGTACCGTCCTTGCTTTCCTGTCTGGATCAGTTAGCGCGTGTCATCGAATCTCAGTGAAATTGGCGATCCACGAAGAAATGTATTTTGCTAAAATCTCATGACATAATACATCTTTCATTGTATTTTTTCCTCGGGGGTACAAAAACAAGTGCCGCCTCAAAAAGCTTCACGTCTGCGGGCTAATTTTTCTTATTTGGCAATTTTCAGATCCTGCACGTTGCAATTTTTCCGTATTTTGTTTTTGTTTTTGGTCTTTTGCTTTTTATTGCTTTTCGTTGACGTGCGTTAAAAGCTTCACAGTCACACGCTTAATGAACTAATGAAATGCCAACTGGGCCACGGAAGTTGATTTGCTTTGAAACAATCCTCACCAATTCTATTATAACTCAATCCCTGGCAATTAGTGCTGGCTTTTTTTGCCATCTGATTCGATTCGATCTTTCGAGTTCGCTTTCCGAGTTGCTGATTTGCATAGCGATTTTTCTTCCATAGGGGGAGTATAGAAGGAGCTCGCTGATCTGACATGGGTGAGAATGGCTTGGAAGCAGATAATAAGGCAATCACATCAGAGAATCACGCAGAATGCAGCACAAACGAGGCAAACAGAGAGATGGTCAGGCAAAAAAGAAAAGTTGATAGAGTTCCATTTTACAGGCTCTTCTCGTTTGCGGATTCCACTGATACTCTCTTAATGATCGTCGGCACCATTGGGGCCATTGGAAATGGCATGGGTTTGCCTCTCATGACCTTACTGATGGGCCAAATGATCAACGCTTTTGGAAGTAACCAGCAAAGCACCGACATTGCTGCAAAAGTTTCCAAGGTAAAAGCAGCAGTAATTATAAGGTTCATCTCATATTTATTGCTGGGAAGAGATGCACCTGAACTTTTGACTCGGGTTTCATGAATTTTTGAAGCAACTGAGTCGACATAGGAAATCTAATACAAGTTTACAGGTTTGCGTTTGAACTTTTTGTTTTTCGTCATTTGAATTTTCGGAAAATTGCAGGTCTCTTTGAAATTTGTGTACTTGGCAGTGGGATGCGGTGTGGCAGCATGTCTCCGTAAGTACATTGAGCCATCAAAATTACTTGGGTGTTTCTGGCCTTGATTGCTTTTCTCTAAATTCCTTTTCCTTACCTTAATTTTATTTTTCAGAGGTGTCTTGCTGGATGGTCACAGGGGAAAGACAGGCTGCACGAATAAGGGGTTTGTATCTGAAAACCATACTGAGACAGGACGTTGCTTTCTTCGATAAGGAGACGAACACTGGAGAGGTGGTGGGGAGAATGTCCGGTGACACTGTTCTCATACAAGATGCCATGGGAGAGAAGGTATTAAAGGCTTGAATCAAAATTAGGAACAAATCGCCCCCGATGAATATTTGGCGTTGCTGTCATCATTCGGGAGTTCCCATGTTTAAAAGCTTTCTTGTCTGATCAGGTTGGGAAATTTCTGCAACTAATTTCAACATTCATTGGCGGCTTTGTGGTAGCATTTATCAAAGGATGGCTTCTTGCACTTGTCATGTTGTCCATTCTTCCATTGCTGGTGGTAGCCGGGGCATCCATGGCCTTCATTATAGGAAGGATGGCTTCCCGTGGTCAGACAGCTTATGCAAAAGCTGCAAATGTCGTTGAACAAACTCTTGGCTCTATTAGAACTGTAAGTTGTTAGAACTGAATTGATACTATGGGAAATTCTATTGAGATCACATCAGAGAGAGCTGAATTTGATGTTATCTTTCGACGTGCAAACATACCCAGGTGGCATCCTTCACAGGCGAAAAGCAAGCAGTGTCTACTTACAGCAAATTTCTTGTGGATGCTTACAGATCAGGAGTCCATGAAGGCGTTGTAGCCGGCCTGGGTTTCGGCATGGTTATGTTTGTCTTTTTCTGTGGTTATGCTTTGGCTGTATGGTTTGGCGCAAAGATGATATTGGAAAGAGGATACAACGGCGGCACGGTGATTAATGTGATTGTTGCTATATTAACTGCTTCCATGTAAGTAGCCTCATTTTTTCCCCTGTATTCTGTGACAACTGAGATACGTAATTCCTATATTTTCTATTGTATCAACACAACCATATACTTGGGTATAGACATGAATGGATTGTTCAACTTGGTAACTTAAAAAACATCTTTTTATATGGACAGGTCACTTGGGCAGGCCACCCCTTGCTTGAGTGCTTTTGCTGCGGGTCAAGCTGCAGCTTATAAAATGTTCGAGACAATTGAGAGAAAGCCTGAGATAGACGCTTATGATCCAGACGGTAAAGTATTAGAGGACATCAACGGCGAGATAGAGTTGAAAGATGTTTACTTTAGTTATCCAACTAGACCTGAGGAGCTAGTATTCAATGGGTTCTCTCTTCATATACCAAGTGGCGCCACCTCTGCCTTGGTTGGAGAGAGTGGAAGTGGGAAGTCAACAGTTATTAGCTTAATAGAAAGATTCTATGATCCACAGGCAGGTGAAGTTCTTGTTGATGGCGTCAACTTGAAAGAACTTCAGCTCAGATGGATTAGAGGTAAAATCGGCCTTGTCAGCCAGGAGCCTGTGTTGTTTGCATCGAGCATTATGGATAACATCGTGTATGGAAAGGAGGGAGCGACAATTGAAGAGATAAGAGCTGCAGCTGAACTCGCAAATGCTGCCAAGTTCATTGATAAATTGCCACAGGTCCTAATTTATAACCGATTAAATTATGATTTAAGTCAAAGCTAAATTGCCTTCGGAGTCATGACATTTAAATTTTATTACTAACATTTCTGTTAAATCTAGGGATACGACACAATGGTTGGCGAACATGGAACTCAGCTATCTGGTGGACAGAAACAACGTATTGCTATTGCAAGAGCAATTATAAAAGATCCAAGAATACTCCTTCTAGATGAAGCGACAAGTGCATTGGATGCAGAATCTGAAAGGATAGTTCAAGAGGCTCTAGATAGGGTCATGGTGAACCGAACAACCGTTATTGTGGCTCATAGATTGAGCACAGTGAGGAATGCTGATATGATTGCTGTGATTCATAGGGGGAAGATGGTTGAAAAAGGTACTATACAATACTAATCAGCCCAGCCATCATGTTCTTTTCATCGACCCACAACATACAAAAATCAAAATTCAAATAATCAGAGTTTCGTTTGTATATCTCACTTTAACTTCACGTGTCTACTAATCAGGAACGCATTCAGAGCTTCTCAAGGATCCTGAGGGAGCTTACTCTCAGCTTATACGCTTGCAAGAAGTAAACAAAGAGTCAGAAGAATCTTCAGAGCGTCAAAACAGAAGTGAAATTTCCCTAGAATCGTTCAGACAATCAAGCCAAAGGAGGTCACTTCGGAGATCTATAAGTCGAGGATCGTCTGTCGGCAATAGTAGCAGGCACTCATTTTCAGTACCATTCGGCATGCCCACTGTAGTTAACGTCCCTGAACCTGAGCTTGAAAAATTAGACGCGAAAAAAGAATTGCCAGAGATTCCAATTCTCCGCCTTGCTTCCCTCAACAAGCCTGAAATTCCAGTGCTTCTGCTTGGATGCGTGGCTGCCATTATAAATGGTGCAATACTTCCGGTGTTTGGTTTGTTGGTTTCTTCTGTTATCAAAACATTCTACGAGCCCCCTCATGAGATGAAAAAGGATTCCAAGTTTTGGGCAATTGTTTTTTTGGCCCTTGGCATTGCATCTCTTCTCGCAATTCCATCCCGAGGATACTTGTTCTCTGTAGCTGGCTGTAAGTTAATCCAACGCATCAGAATGATGTGTTTTGAGAAGGTTGTGAACATGGAGGTTGGTTGGTTTGATGACCCAGAGCACTCAAGCGGAGTAATAGGTGCAAGGCTTTCGGCAGATGCTTCGACAGTGCGAGCCCTTGTTGGTGATGCGCTAGGTCTTCTGATTCAAAATGCAGCTTCCATGTTGACAGGTTTAGTTATTGCTTTCATTGCGAGCTGGGAGTTAGCTTTAATTATTCTGGTACTTATTCCCCTGATTGGGGTGAATGGATATATTCAAATGAAATTCATGAAGGGTTTTAGTGCAGATGCAAAGGTGAGCTTGCTACTTTTTTGTTGCTACGCAAATTTACGTTATACTATTCAAATTTTGATAAACAGATTTATGAATACGGTAACGCGAATTGCTGCAGATGATGTACGAAGAAGCAAGTCAAGTAGCTAATGATGCTGTTGGAAGCATCCGAACAGTGGCTTCTTTCTGTGCCGAAGAGAAGGTAATGGAACTGTACAGGAAGAAATGCGTAGGCCCCATGAAATCTGGGATAAGGCTAGGCTTGATCAGTGGAGCAGGATTTGGGTGTTCGTTTTTCTTACTTTTTAGTGTCTATGCTGCAAGTTTCTATGCCGGAGCTAGGCTTGTGGATGCTGGCAGAACTAATTTCTCAGACGTTTTTCGGGTACTGGCTAGATCTTCGAATAATATTGTTACCGGTCCATCATTTGTTGTTGAGAGAGATACGCTCCAACATCTTAATGTGGATTCCTTCCGACTAATTTAGATGCTTTGGTGGTTGGTAGGTTTTCTTTGCTCTAACAATGGCGGCAATGGCAGTTTCCCAGTCGAGCTCTATGGCTCCGGATTCTAGCAAAGCCAAGTCTGCCACTTCTTCCATATTTGATCTAATCGACGGGAAGTCCAAGATAGACTCCAGCGACGAGTCCGGCGCCACGATGGATAACGTAAAGGGAGAAATTGAGCTCCGTCATATAAGCTTCAAATATCCATCCAGACCAGATACACAAATTTTCCGGGACCTCAATCTGGCTATCCACTCGGGCAAGGTAGAGTTTTACTTTTCTTTTTCTCCCTTCATGATAATGTGTTGAAAAACATGTTGCGAGTAACAAATCCATGAATTTAATTTTTTTTCCCCCTTCCCTGCAGACAGTGGCCCTCGTTGGCGAGAGTGGAAGCGGGAAATCCACGGTGATTGCATTGCTCCAAAGATTTTATGACCCAGACTCAGGGGAGATCACGCTTGATGGAATAGAAATTCGAACGTTACAGATCAAGTGGTTAAGACAGCAGATGGGGCTCGTGAGCCAAGAACCAGTGTTGTTCAATGACACTGTCCGTGCCAACATTGCCTACGGAAAAGGAGGCGATGCAACAGAAGCGGAAGTCACAGCTGCAGCAGAACTGGCCAACGCTCACAAGTTCATCAGTGGCTTACACCAGGTAGAAATAAACCCAACAAATAATAACCTTACTTATGACTTCTCTGAGAGGATTTCAATTAGCTTTGTTCTGGTAGCAGGGTTATGAGACGGTAGTGGGGGAGAGGGGACTCCAGTTGTCTGGGGGCCAGAAACAGAGGGTGGCCATAGCACGCGCCATAATCAAGAGTCCAAAGATATTACTGCTAGACGAGGCCACGAGTGCGTTGGATGCCGAGTCAGAGCGAGTGGTTCAAGATGCATTAGACAAAGTGATGGTGAATCGGACTACTGTGGTGGTAGCGCATCGTCTGTCCACCATAAAGAATGCGGATGTGATTGCCGTCGTCAAGAACGGAGTCATAGTAGAGAAAGGAAGGCATGAGACGCTGATTAACATTCAAGATGGCTTCTATGCGTCCCTAGTCCAGCTTCATACTAGTGCTTCCACTGCATGATTCTATTTTTCCTTCTTCTTGTGAACTGCAATACAAGGGCAATAAAGGCATCATCTCCCTCATTCTCAACTCTCATCCCATATTCCAAGCCGGTTCGGTGTCCCAAAAAACAAAAAAACAAAAAACAACAAGCCTGCTTTTGTTTTAACTTTTGGGATGAAGCTGAACCTTTTCCGGGGGAAAATATGAGAAAAACTGAAAAAGCAAATTGCTGGCCGAAAAACGCAGAAATACATTTTTAAGGTTTTTCTTTTTTTTTTTTCAATTTCTTAAAGGTGTGACGTCAAGGATATGTTTGGGTGGGAGAACAAAATGGACTTCGTTACAAAATTTTGGGGGGGAGAAGAAATATCTCTTCTCCCCTAACTCCTCACTTTCCTTTAATTTGGAGTTTTTTTTTTTTGGGAGGAGAGCTAAATTTTTGAACTTGTTTGTCCTCATTCATTTTGCTAAATTTCACAATTGCCCCGACCTCTGCATTCAAATTATCGTTAGTTTGCTTGTTGAACGCGCCACCATCGTCCCAGCGTCTTCCAGCCTATCCCTATGCCGTCATTGTGTTTCACCATAGCCATTCCTATCTGGCCGTTCAATGATCCAGATCTAGTGGTTCCCATCCCGCCATTGTCTAGCTTGTCGAAGAAATGGAAATGGTGGATCTTGCAGGTTCCACAATAGTGAGGATTGAAGTTCGAAGGGTCCACCTATTTAATTTCTTGTTCTCGCAGAGGTCATTTCTTTTGCCTCTAGCTTCACTATGCGTTCACTACCCTCATCTACAATGCAATGACTCCTGCCATCAACCTACACGTTTTTCTACTCCACCTCCAGGAACTTTTGCTTCCACCCTCATTTTATAATATAATTTTTATTTATATTTTTGTTTAAATAGTAACGTTATTTTATTTTTCTGAAAAAAATAACTCTTTTGAGTGATGAGGTTTTAATGCAATTTTTTAATAGAATAAAAATAAAATAAAATTTACTGTATGTGTGTGTGTGTAGGGTTATACTAGTACCTCCCTCCTCTTCCCTCTTGATATTTGTAATTGCACATCACATTGGCATGTAGTGTCCTGAAAGGTTTTTTTTTTTTTTTTCTCCTGAAGTCTGTAATTTTTTTAAGAAAAAATATAACTTTTGATCTCTGCATTTTGCTCGTATTTTATTATAGATCCCTACACTTTTTTTCCCCGATGTTTTGGATCTATATACTTTTATTTTTGGTGTTTTAGTTGATTTAAGGTCCATATACTTTGATCATTTTGATCATTTAAGGATTTAAAACATTGAAAAAATGAAAGCATAACAATTTAGAATATAAAAAAATGCAAGAATTTATTGCAAAACACGAGCAAAGTGTAGGGATTAAAAATTATATTTAAAAAAAAATACGTTTTGATAAAGTGCTTTACTTCATCAGTTTTTACCAAAGGGTTTTCTTTTCTTTTCTACATGAAATCGTTGATATATTTCACCAAAAAAACCAGGAGATGGAATATGTAACAAATGTGCCTATTTTCATGCCAATCATAGCAATACTTTTCAAGTTGTTGACGCGATCCGCTTCATAAATTTTTATATTTTGAATAATTTATGCAATATATCTTTTACATTTTGTACTATGAATAAATTATATTTAAAAGAAGCCGTAAACATTATATTAAAAAAAAACTGCTGAAACTCCCGAGTGGGCTGTTATTTGTTTGAGAAACTCTAAAATTTAGGAAAAATATAATTGTAAGTCTTTATAGTTCTCTTCAATTTTAAATTAAATCCATGAAATTTATTTTATTTTAATTAAACCCTTATAATTTGATTAACTAAATGTCTTAATCTCTGAAGATTAAATTTCTTAAATTTTTTCTTTTAAAAAAATGAAATTAACAACTTTTACTGTATGTTATTAACAAATCATGTTATTCTGGAATTAATAATCTCTCGAGCACAGATGATGGAGGGTGAAGCGCGTCAGAAGTTGCTGAACTTGACATTGATGGAGCTTCAGCTTCTAATATTTGATGGCACCAGAACTTCTTGTGGTGGTCTTTTGGGCAATGCACATGGGCAGTTCCCGTATGGGTTCATCTGTTGTCTGGAGGGGACCTTGGAGCTTGTTGGTGCAAAAACCAACATTGAAAATCGTGATTATGAACTCTATTGCGAGAACTTCGTTAGCTTCTTCATAGGGACTGGGAGGTTCATCTGCAGCACACGAGACGGAATTGGAATGAGGCTGCTAATTTGTTGGCCAAGGACGGACTTGCTTTGGCCCCTGGTTTGCACTTGTTTAATATGCCCATGAATGGTCTTACTCAGTGATTGGCATTACAAGCCTTATATGGATAATTCCTAGGTAGCTTGGCTACCCCTCTTTCGTTGAAAGATAATAATAATAACAAGAAAAATTAATTATATAATTTTTAAAACTCGAAATTTACGTAATTATGATGCTTCCTAAATAATTTTAATATATATAAATTTTTCGTAAAAATTTAAAAATTGTATTTAATCAATTTTTTGGCCAACAGTATTGAATAAAATTTTCTATAAACTCTGAAAGTATTTTTAAAAAATATTCATCTTTCATTAATAATTTTAATCTTTGGAGATTAATATATTTAGCAGATTAAACTATAAGAATTTAATTGAAACAAAATAAATTACAAGATTCTATTTCAAAAGTGAGAGAAAATACAAGAATATATGAATTAATTTTTTCCTAAATGTTATGATCAGTTCCTCTATCAATATCTGTTTTTATTCTGATCTCAGTCTGTATGATGAGGCTGGCGGTTTTGGCCTGAAGACTGAAGAAGTCGACGACTTGAATATATGAATTAATTAGTAATTTAACGCTTGGAAATGCCTGATTGAATATATGAATTAATTAGTAATTTAATAACTGATATTGTTGCTTATGATTGAAAAACTGATGTCAAATTTTATATAATTATTGATATATCAACTCATATAATTTGCAACTCACATTCAGATGAAGTAAGAAAATTAACAACTAGTAATTCAATATAACATGTGAAAGATATTTTGATCTCTCTATCGTTAAAATTCTTTTAACTTTTTAAATTAAAATTTTAAATATTTTTAAACTCACATGAAATTAAGTCTCTTTCTTAATCTTTAACTGAAATTCTTTCTTATTTGATCTTGAAAATTAAGTATTTTTATTACAGATTTTTTTCTTCTAATTTTTGCTTTGGAATTAGCGGCATGTTTCGAGGGTTTGATATTAAAAATCAACGAATATTTAGTACGAATTTATATGTAAGAATCAATTATTTAAATAAAAAAGGAAGAATGATAAAAAGATCATTAATTGATTTAAATTAAATTTTAAATATTAAATTTTAAAAATTTACAAATTTAATTGTTAATTTTATAATTTTGTTATGATAAATTTATAATTTTAATAAAAAAATAAAATTATGTTATTCTCCCTAAAAAATCCCAAACACTGTCCGGTTGGGTCGTTTTTTTCACTGAAGTCAATTTGACTGAGAAAATTTAGTGGCGAGGGTTTGGCTTCACAGGGGGACAGCGACGGTGAGAGCCTGGAGACACGAGCAGAGGAGAACAGTCGCAAATAAGTGCGAACGTCATGCGTGACAACACATGATGTATGACGAAGAAATATGATATAGCACTATAACGAATTGTAATTGAAAAAAAAAAAAAAACAGATAAATCTGCCTGAAATAATAATTTGATTTGACAAAGTATGATAACCACAATGGTCTTAAACAACTTTTGAGATTAAATTTTTATGTAAAATTATTTTAATATCTTTTTATAATTTAAAAAGTTATAATTTTTTAAATTGTTTTAGTAATTAGTAAAACTAAATTTGCAGCCATGTAAAATTAATTGCAGAAAGATATTAAAGTAATTTTATATAAAAATTTAATTTTACATAAATCTCTTGTGACCTTACAATTATTATCACATTTTACCAAATTAAGTTGTTATTTTTCTAAGAGAGATTTACTTGTAATTCTGTCAATATAATTGGTCACCTAAGAGAAAATTAAGAAGAGATGAAAATTAATATGACAACAAACTCGCCCATGGCTGTGTAATAAACCGATAACAAATTTTTTTTTTTTTTGGGGCCAGAAAACCGATGATAAATTAAAGACGCTTATTGTTCATTTGTTCACGCACGCCGCTCGCACGGCAATAGTCAATCAAGCCTGTGATAGCTGCGGCTACTGGCTCAATTCAAATCGAGTGCCGAATGGAATAGCACCAAAAACATAGCACCAGTGCCAGATTTTAATAATAATAATAATAATAATAATAAATATTAAGCAATTGCGCATTTTCAAGAAGATGGTGACATTGCAGCGATGTTGCAGCTGGATAATTTCTTTTATTGATTCAACCCTTCAATAAAGTGACAAACTCGCGTGCAAATAGCCAAATACTGCCCTGAATCTCCTTTAAATTAACGGCTCGAAAGCGTAAGGCCTCATTTGATGTAATAAAAAAGCTTTGAATAAAATTAAAATAAAAATAAAAATAGAATTGAGTTTTAAAAGTGTATTTGATATAAAAATAAAATTTTAATATAATATTAATTAGTATATGTACTTAAAATAAGAAAAGACCAAATTATCCTTTTTCTTAAAATTAAAAAAACCTATCTTATTGTAAATGGACAAAAAAAGATGAGGGTAATGGAGTTCACAAATGAATTCAAGGGAATTTAAGTAATTCCATGATCAAATATGATGGAATTGAATTCTAACATTTTTTGGTAAAATTAGAATTTTTAAGAATTACAACTCTTATATGTCAATCATATTTAAACTAGGATTTTATCTCTAGTTTCCTTTCCACCTTGCCAATTCAATGATATCAAATATGGCCTAAGTTTCTTGAATCATGTGATTAATAGTCTGGTTTTTTTATTAAGAAAAAAAAAGGCAAAACAAAACAAAGAAAACATGACAGTGTAGTCATAGGCATTCAAGAGTTGGGATGGGATGAGATTGTAGCAGCAGTTCTTTTTCAATACAAGTAGAGTTAAAAATAACAATCG